CGAATGTTTCCTGTCGTCATTTGAAAAGAGCGTGCTTTCCGTTTTGGGTGTCGTGTTCTAAAAATGTCAGTGAAGTCTGGTTAATCGATGGTGACACGAATGACTAAAGATGGTGACAGTAAGCATTAAACGCTTTGCCTGTGGATCTGTCTTTTGTAGTTCAGTTCATAGACCCCAAGCCCTGAAACGTAAGTGAGTAAAGGAAGTGCCTCCTGGCGGTGCGGAGTACCTGCATTGTATGTAACTATGGGTATGGTCTTATTCAGGCCCGTCATCTTGTCTTTTGCTCTCTTTCTGGCCCTTTCAATTTGTTGTTTCTTTATCACCCCTTTCTTGTCTTGTTTGGATTATCTGATTATTTAAAAATATTCCTTTTCATTTAGGCATTGACTTTCGTGTATCTCTTCGTATTTGTGTGTGTGTTTGTGTGTGTGGTTACTCTAGAGACACAATGCACGTAATCTGATCTTTCTCAGTCTATGGAGAGCTAATTCTTCATCACTGACGTGTCCCTTCCTCCCTCTGTGTTACAATGGTCACAGACACTGTGTCTACACACGTTGAAACCCTACCACACAATGTGATTGCTTTTGTTTTCAATAATCTTATGTATTTTAAAGCTTATAAGAGAAGCAAAATAGTCTTTTATGTTTACTGAAGTATTTACCACTTCTGCTGCTCTTTCTTCATTCCTGGTTTCATGTTTCTGGCTGGTATCATTTCCCATCATTGTGAAGAGCTTTCATCTTGCTTCGAGAGCAGGACTTCACCTGCTTCGAGAGCGGGTGACAGATTCTCTTTGTTTTCCTTCTTTTCGTTTGTGTCTTCATTTCCCAGGGAGATTTTTGCTGACTGTAGAATTCTGCTTATAGTTCATCCCCAGGCCCGCCTCTAGCACTTTAAAGATGACAGTCCTGCCGTCTGTCTCCCGTGATTTCTGATGAGAGGTAGACAGTAATTTGAATTGTGATTCACCCACAGACAATGCCATTTTTCTCTAGCTTAATCCCCCCCCCCCATCTTCTTTTCTCTCTAGTCTTCACTATCGCTACGCCTTTAAGTCACCGACTGTCTGGTTTGTTCGCGCTCTTTTTACCGTGCAATCTGTCCATCATTTCCATTGGGCTTTGTTTCTGTACTTCCTGTTTTTTGCAGAAGATATGTGCCTTATTATTCATTTCAAATGTGCCTACCTTTACCTTTATTTCTTCTTCCCTTTTAAAAATTTCTTTTTCAGGAATTATTTCTTTAATTCCATTCATTATTATTATTTTTAAATTTAACCAGACAAAGACAGAGAGAGAGAGAAAGGGAAAGTGAGAAAGCAAGCTGCCAGGTCTGGGACTTGAACCAGTTGGCCATGTAGGAATCCAGAGCCTTTAACCACTATGCCACCTACTGGGCTCCCCCTTTTTTAAATCTAGAGAGTGGGAGTACTGGCTAGAGTGGGACAGAGAGGAAGAGAAACAGAAGAAAAGTGAGAAATCATCCCCCATGGGGGATGACCATGCTGCAGTCCTCTCTCCTCTGTTTATCCTTTTGGTATTTTGGGCACGCACACACACATGGCCAGTACGTTTTTCAAGCCACTGGATCCAGGACTTGAACCATGGGGTCAGCCATGTGGGATTGAGCCACCTTAACTACCACATCACAGGCTGGCTTTACATTTATCTGATGAATATAGTTGCAAAAGTGCTTTAAAGTTTCTGTGTGGTCATTTCAACATCTGCATCCTCTTGGGACTGGCATCTGTAGATTTTCTTTCCCCTTGAATGTCAAAATAACTTTAAATTATATCCTGAACATTTGAATATTATCACATTCTTCAGGATGGTCTTAATGATGTCTCATGCCTGGGTGGGCCCCTCTTCATGCCTATAGCACTGATTCTATCTTAACACCCCTCTTCACAGCTTGAGCTTGGAATTTGCGGGTACACCTGCCCTTCTAGTAGGCCGTGCTGTCAGTTCTTCAAGAGCAAGAACTGTATCTTATCCACTTCTGTTTTTCCTGCTTCATGTCTGGCATGTAGTAGTCACTGATCAAATGTTTGTTGGACAATGAATAAACCATCAGAAGTGGGGTGATGAGGTGGATGCATACCAGCCTACAGCTAATGGAAGGTCTGGGCATGAGATGGCAAAGGGATGACGTTTAAAGCCACAAGACTAACCGGGGAGCACACCTGTGAGTCAGGGCAGAGAGGGAAGAAACCTGACAACTGGATCTGGGGGTCCCAATGTTGGCTTGTCATCTGGCCTGAGGGGCCAGAAGCAATACCAACCAAGTGGCATGGCCCAGTCAGAAGACATGTTGCTCAATAACTTTTACAGGGGAAGTTTAATGTAAATGACATTGGGCTTGGAGTTGAGGGCTCAGCTAGGAAGTAGACAACTAGACAAAATGCAGGAAGGACAGATGTAGGGATCAGCACTGACCCTAAGGCCATGATAGAGCAGCCAAGGAAAGGCCACGGCTAGGAGCCAGACTGCACAGAAGAGGACATAGCTGCTGATCACTGGGTGCCTCCTTCCAGCATGCTGGGGAAAGTTTTTCATGAGAAAGTATGTTGCTAGAGGCATTTTGCTTCGAAACTGCCCAGAGGGGTGCTGGGCAGAAGCTGCTGGCCACGGAGTGCTGCAGACTGCTGTATGCTGCAGGTCTGGCACCATACAAGCCACTTGTGCTGCAGGAGCCTGGCACTGGGAAGCTGCATGGGGGCCCGTATGATGGAGAGATGGTTCCTTGCCGTGCCACTCCAACGTCAATCAAAATGCCTACAACAAAGTCTAGCACTGTGCCGTTTGGCAAAAAATAATATCTAGAGGAATCAGATCTGCTTCCAGACTAGGTAGCCGGGATGAATTTGGAGCAGAGACAATCAGTCGGTCATTGGCCCAGTGTAGAGGAGAGGCACCGGGGCCAGATGGGACAGCCTTGCTGTTGCTGGCCTGAGGAGTGTGTAACTTTGCACACGGGAGAGGAGGGGAATTCAGGAGTCCCTGGAAGCAGGAGGGCTTGGGACTGGTGAGGCCAGAGTCAAGCGGGCCTGAGACTGAGAGCAGAGCAACCAATGGATCCTCAGGTTTCTTGTTGGGGTCTGGGCAAAGCAAAATACATAAAGATGAAGACGTTTATCCTGCTGGCTAAGGAGTGCTGTCTTGGGGTGACACCAGCCAGTGAACAATTCCTCTACCCGATGGAGCCATGCCGAGGGAGCTGGTCTCCACTATGCCTTGACTGGCTCCTGTCCTCTCTGGGTTCTGTCTTGTACTCTATGTGCTGGTTGTATCCCACTCCTGGCAGATCCCCAAACTTGTCATACTCGCTCCAAATTCTTAGATTTCGCACATGCTATCGCCTCTGCTTGGGACACTTCCTCCTTAGGATGGCTTATTCATCATCCTTAGCATCTCTGCTAGGACATCACATTTTTCAGGAAGCTTTTGGTCATGCCCAAGTCTGAGTTGTGCCATCTCATGGATTCTCCTTTATCACTACACTTCACAATTAGGTCCTAAGTGCTGTGCGCCTGTCCATCTATCAGACATACTCTAGTTCTTTGGGGGCAAGGAGTGAATCTCATTTGTTTCTATCTTCCCAGCCATGGCTGGCATGAAGTAGTTACTTATCAAATGCTCATTTAGTAAATAAGTCAAAGATGAGAGGGCAAACATGTGGTCATGGAGGGGACAGCAGAGGTAGACGTGATGGGAAGTGGAGCTCACCCAGAGCTTACATGCCTTATTAAGGAGCTCGGCCTACTTCTAGAAGGGGGTGGGAGCCACTGAGAACTATAAGTGGGGAGAAGCACGAGTGGTTTCCTACGTGAGGAAGACTTCTCCAGCAGCATCGTGATGAATGAGTTGGATGGGGATAAGAATAGGGACAGAAAGACTAGGAGGTTCCTGAGATGACCCAGGAGGACCTGGGTGTCAGAGGGACCTGGGAATAGGTACAAAGGCTCATTTTGTTCAGGATGAGGGTCAGCAGTGCCTGAAGAGAAGTGGGCCACTTGGTACGTTTTGCACTGCAGCCTTCACTACATGTCCACCTTGCAGAACCGCGAGCCCTCCAGGGATGGGCCTGAGCCCTCTTTCCTCAATGCCTTCCCTGTGCCTAGGACACCAGCCTCTGCCCTTGGCAAGTCCTCAGTAGGGTGGCTGGCAGGGTCTAAGAGGCAGCCTTTTCCATCCCCAATGTGGCCCAGAAGGAGAGACCAGAGTCCCTGTGAAGTTAGCTTTGCAAGTTTATTGAAAACCCAGGAATATGAAGAGCAGTACACACAGGCATCCCACCTAACCCAAGGCCTCCTTGGGGCTTGCAGGCACACACCGTCCGTGGTGGACAGAGCTGAGCCTCCTGGCTCCAACAGGGTCAGGGTAGCAGAGTGTCGCAGAGCCCACCTTTCCACCTGCACCCCACCTGTCATGTGGATTCACATGCCGGAGTCAAACCTACAACCCACAAAGAGGAACAGCCAGTGCATATGCCACTGGGAGAAGAACCATCTCTGGGGACTAAGATCCCTGGACTGCCAAGGACAGTGGATCTTTCGAGGTCAGGAAGAAAAGTAAAGACTCCTGCCAGGGAAAGGAAGAGGAAGAAAGCAAGGGTACTGGGCTAAAGATGCCTGCAGTGGGGACAGTCACCCCTCCAGCCTCCAAAGTAAAACTAAAGCCTCGGATGGTGATAATACCCAAACACATCTTTTTTTTTTGGCTTTGGATTATCCTTCTGCCCAGGCACATTGGTTTGTGGAACTACATCATCTACATTTCTCAAGGCTGTTGCTAGACGGTGAGGAGGGATCCAAAGAGAGGGGGCTGGGGATACAGGCTGTGGCAGGGTGTCAAAAATTCTTCACGGAGACGGCCACGCAGAGCACACCTGGTGAGCCCAGGGTCCCTTCCTGGCAGGAGGAGTAGCTCTCGGTGACAGAAGCAGAGGTGGTGAGCTGGTTCTTCTCTGGACAGTAGCTGGCTGGGGCTTGGCTCTCAGTACTTGGTGCGGCGGGAGGTGGTGCTGGACACGAAGCGGACACTGGAACTGCGGCTGCTACGACCACGCGCTTGCGACGCCCACCGCTACAGCTGCTGAAGCCCCCCTCGGTGGGCAGGGGGCAGGGAACGCTGGGAGCGCAGGCCTCGCTCACTACCACGGAGCTCGCTCTGTGGCCCGCGCTCAGCAGGTCCCCGCCTGTCAGGCCTACCCGGGCCCCACTCAGGCCTGAGCCGCTGGAAGCCAGGACCCCACAAGCGGCATGGGTACCGCTGCTGCCTGAGAAGTTGATGCCACGGGGGAGAGTGGAGCTGGCCACCAAGGACTCGGGCGTGCAGATCATGCCGCCCCGGGAGCTGCTCACGGCTGCGGGAGGAAGAAAGCGTTAGGGAGGCTGCGGACTCCAGAGCTCAGCCTGCCATCCTCCCTTCCTGGGCTGCACCTGGAGGGGCTGGAGGCTGGGGGACCACTGGGGACAGGGACCTGGGGCAGGATTATGCCATCTGGGCAAGTGGTGCCTATTGTCTACAGAGGCAATATCCACTTTTCCTTTATCTTGTCAGAGTGGTTCAAAGATGGACCACACTAACATCAGACATCCAGATTAAACTGCAAGGACAGCCAGCTCCCCAGATGTTTGCATTCAGCCATAGGTTGACTGTCTACACATGGCCAAAGTTGGGTCGGGTGAGGCGGGTAAAGAGCTGGGTCATCCAGAGAGCCGGAACAGTAGCTTTGGAAAGCCTTGGGGCTTTCCCTTTCAATTACATTCTGCCTCTTGGTTGGCCCCACATTTCCCCTAGACCCACCCATGAGAAACCTCTCCAACACCAGCCCCTTCAGCTCTCTCCTGACCCAGCAGTGGCTCCGCCCTGTAGCCCTCTGGACTCTCCACTGGGCACCCCTTCTCCCAGGCCCCAGGATTCTATCCCACCTGGACCTCTGTTAGACTCGCCCCATCTGCAGAGGCCCACACTCTTCTCTGCCTGCTCTGAAAGACCCGGTCTTTCCTGCCGTCCATGCTCTCCACTCAAGCTTGGCCTGGCATGGAAAGCCATTGTTGATCAGGCCCTGGGCCCGGCAGCTCTGACTGTCTCTCCCACTGGTTGAGCATTCGGTTCTACCATGCGTCAGTGTCCATTGTATTTTGGGAGTCAGAAATCTGAGTTTGAATTCTGGCTAGCTTTGTGACTTCTGGGCACTGTGCAGAGGGGCGCGAGGAAGGAAGGCCCAGGGTTACCTTGCATGCTTTGAGCCTATTCTTGGCACTGCCCTTTCCATTCTTTCTAAGTCCCTGAGATAGTTGCTCGAGGGAAAAGGCCCCTCCAAGCGAACAGGCTGATTCCTTTCTGGAACCCTCTTCCACCCTATAAACCATTGTGAGTGCTTTGCTTTGGGGGAATGCAGGCTCAGAGAGTCCTCGGAGCTGAGCTAAGGAGATGTTCCCAGTCCAGAGGCCAGATGGCCCTGACCTCCCTGGCTGCCATGGTGGGGGACAGCCATGTTGGAAGCCTCTGACTCCAGTGTAACCTGAGTTTAAAGGAAATTTGAAGGGGAAAGAAAAGTGTGAGGAAGAAAAGGTTTAAGTTTCTTACATATGTTCACTGGCCCAACACCTTCACAGATCCTAGAAAGAGAAAGAAAAAAATTGTTTCCAAGCCCTGTGGTTTCCTGCAAACACACTTGCTATAAAAAAGGGCTTCTTGTCTGAGTAGAGGAGTTGACTAGTGAGTGATTCTTAATCGTGACTGTACACATATCTGGGGAGCATTGAAAAACACATGTTCCTTGGCCCCATCCCCAAACTACTGAATGGAAATACTCGAGGAAGGGCAGCACTGTCAGTGCACCACAGAAACCAAACGAGCAAGACCCTCCCTGCTTCCTGAGCAGCCTGAAAGGCACAGATCCAGAGACTTCTCGTCTCCTGGCAAGGCCGCCTGACTGATGTGTGCAGAAAAGACACGGTCACCTCTAGAGATGGCTCATTTCAGCAGTTCCTCACCTGGTTTGTCCCTGCCCCCACTTAGTCCCTCTCACTGCCTAAGTCTGACTTCTCTCCTTCCTGCTGCACTGAGAACTCTCACCGGATCTCCTCGCCTTCCAGCAGCCGCCTGTAGGTGGCGATCTCGATGTCCAGGGCCAGCTTGATGTTCATGAGCTCCTGGTACTCGCGCAGCTGCCGCGCCATGTCCTGCTTGGCCTGCTGCAGGGCACCCTCCAGATCTGCCAACTTGCATTTGGCATCGTTGAGGGCCGCCTCACCTTGCTGCTCTGCCTCGGTCACCGCGGCCTCTAGCTTGGCACGCTGCAGGGAGAGAGAGCAGTGTGTAGGTGGGCTTTGGTAGGAGCCAGGGGATGCCCAGGTACGGTTAGAAACACTGACTGGCCTGGTGCCAAGCCAGGGAGAGAGCCCATGTGGCTGCTTTGCCAGGGATTGGTGATCTTGTAGTCTGATGTGTGCAGGGACTGGGCATTGCTTTTCTCCAGTTTTCGTTCTTACTGTCTTTGCCCTTCCTGAATTCTGCAGCCCCAAGTCCCCTGGAGTCCAAAGAGTGTATGTGTTCACTTAGCCTCCTTTCTCCTCTGAGTCTGCCCCAGGCCTTTCCTCCTCTATGGAGTGCTCTTTGTCCTTTCTTTATTTGCTTCCTCTGGGAAGCCCTCCCAGACTAACCCTTCCATTCCTCTGTGTCCAGGTCTTGGTGGCCTCCCTTACCTCATCAGACTTGGGGCTCCCCAAAGCATAGGCTCTCCTCCCTCTGGGGATTTCTCCCATCTCCTTTGCTCACCTGAGCCTTGGCATTCTCAATCTCTGCCTTCAGTCTCTGGATCAGGCGGGTCAGTTCATTGATCTCGTCCCGTGTGCTACGCAGGTTGTCACTGTGTTGGCCAGCTGTCACCCGCATCTCCTCATACTGGGAGAAAGAGGGGTGCCCCATGATTTCACAGGTAAGGTCAAGACCACAGCCCCTACTGAGCTGGGGCCTCAGACCTCCACTGGGTCCACACTGTGGTAGGTGGCCTATGACCCTACTGCAGCCTCTCCCTGCCCACCTTGGTCTGGTACCAGGCCTCAGCATCAGCCCGGCTGCGCCTGGCCACTTCCTCGTACTGGGCCTTGACTTCGGCGATGATCCCGTCAAGGTTCAGGTCCCGGCTGTTGTCCATCTTCACGATGACCGATGTCTCTGAGATGTGTGACTGTAGCAACTGGATTTCCTGTATTGGAGAATCAGTCAGACAGATGAGCTCAGAGTCCCATTCAATAGCCAGAGCTCTGCCACAGGGTCCCCATGATGTGGTGTCAGGAGCAGAGAGCATTGCTCATTGGTTCAGAGCAAAGCAAGACAACCCGCAAGGAGGACAAAGAAAAAGACATGTCTGAGAGCCATTTGACCTGACTTTAGAACACTTGCTGTTGGAGATCTGCTCTTTGGACACTCTCTCCAACACCCTCCCTGGCTGAGGTGTTAGAACCATGAGAGCCTTGGAGCCTGGGGAAGGGGATCTGGAGCCTCATGAGGCTTCAGTTCTCTTTAGGTTTTCCACAAAGTGACTGAGCTAGCCAAGGCCCACTGAAAGCTGATGCTGTTTTAGAGCATGTGGGCTAAGAATTCTTATATCCCAACCCTTAATGAAACCAGGGCATCTGGGAACTGGCCTACGGGGCAGAAGCTAAGAGGGAGCTTTCCTCAGCCTTTTCACTCAGAGCTAGAGTTTCAGCTCTGGCTGATCTAGACCAGACCAAACAGACCACTTATGGAGCAAACAATTTCTTGTTGGTTTGACTAACCAGGTCAAAAACAGTTTTTAAAAACTGCTATTAGAATATCAGTTTTCCAGAGTCTCCTGGTCAATAGGTAGGAAGTGACAATCCTAGGCTCCAGCCTTAGATTGACCAATTAGTTTATTCATAGATCCAGGTCAGGCTGCTGAGCTTGCTTACCTTGCTTTTTCCATTTGCAAATATATTGACATGTAGATTTGAGGGGGAGAAAAGCTGCAGGACACCAAATGTTTGAAAATACACTAGCCAAAACCAAGCCCCTAGGCAGCCCAGGCCACCCCCCCACACACACACACACACACACACACACACACGTCCTATGGATGCCTTTGAAATGATGAGTGCTCACCTCTGCATACAAGGTTTTCAGGAAGTCAGTTTCCTGGATCAGGGTATCCACGTTGGCCTGTAGCTCAGATTTATTCAAGAAAGCTGCATCCACATCCTGAATCAAAGAGCAAGGATCAGATACTGAGTGCCAGGGAGCTGTTTAACCTTCACACCTGGGAAGGGCAGGGCTGGAAGGACGGGATGGCCTGGCTGTTCCCACAGGGCCAACTTTCACAGGCTGTTGGGGAAGGTGGTAAAGTTGTTGGGTGGACGTGGAGCTTAGTGGCTAGTGTTCTTCTGCCTGCTACAATGCGAAAACTCCCCCAGTGGCTGCTGGATATTTTCTGATGCTTCTTTAGAGGCAAGGAAAATATCTAGAGACTCCAAGATCCTTAAAGGATAATGTCTTCAGACCTCTGCTCTTGTATGACTGGATCCTAAATAACTAAGGCCAAATCAGAACTTTGAAAAGAACCTGTTGGGATTTTAGGGGTTTCGCTGCCTTTGTGAGTAGTCCCAGACTCCAGGGGTGGCCTGGCCAGTTTCCTGGGGACTCTTAAGCACATTTGTCTGACTGGAAGGGAAGTGTGTCTGCACCTGTTGTCCTCCCTTACCTTCTTTAGAGCCACGAACTCATTCTCAGCATTGGCCCGGAACACCACCTCCTCTTCATACCTGGGGTGGTAGAGATGAAAAGGGTGAGTTCTTCCTCTGAACTAGAAGCCAATTTCTCATTCAATCTCTTAAGACCTTGCAGTTCCATTCAGGAACACAACTCCTTTTGGCTGTCCACATGCTAACATCACTGTCCCATCTTTAAGACCTTGTGTGGGCCAGTGGCCCTCAGTTTCTCCAAATCACTTTTGATTTGGGCTCTGAAACTCTGGACCACTGCTATGCTCTGCTGTTAGAGATGACTTTAGGTAGTCGTACTTTATCATAGGGAAGTAGGACCCAAGACGGGCACTGAAGCTGTTTTTCAAAGCCAAAGAGCTCTTTGTTCTGGAGTCAACTCATCCATTTCTACAGACAGTATTAGGATTAAACCATGCCCAGTTTCAAGTCTCCCCTTTCCTTCGGACCCAGGAAGGGCCGCCTCCTCCCTGTTCCCAGATAACGGCTGAGCTTGGCTGCTGCTTTTGGGACTAGCCTATGCCTATCCATGATCTGTGCACTATGGACGCCACTCACTTCTTCTTGAAGCCCTCCAGGATGTCCTGCATGTGGTTCTTCTCAGCCTGGAGCCGGGCCTGGTCGCTGACCAGGACGTCCAGCTCCCTCCGCAGGGTGGCGATGTAACCCTCAAAGAGGGGCTCCAAGTTGCTCCTGGCATATTTCTGCTCTTGGAGGAAGCTCCACTTGGTCTCTAGGAGCTTATTCTGCTGCTCCAGGAACCGCACCTACATCCACAAGGACAAGGAAATGGTGACTGAGGTGCTGTGTAGGATGCCCAGTGTCGGCCAGTTCAGATGCCTAGCAGTGACTCTCAGCCACGAGGTGACAGTGTCCTCTTCTCTGTTGATGTACGTTCCTCCAACTCAGTAGAAGCTGGAACAGCAGATCTGCGATCCCCCCTTCCTGATCAACCAAGCTTCACTACAAATAGAGGCTTTTAAACCAAAGCACTGCAATACTGTGACCTCCAGTTCATTGGGAGGTGGAAATACTGATTCCGTCTGAATGGGCTTGCCTATATCTAAAAATGTGCCAGCCACCCCTGGCAGAACACGATGAGCACAGCACAGTGCATTTGAGATGGTTCTAGGAAGTGGGAATTCTTGGACGGTCACACCCACCATCCCAGATATTCTACCAGCTGAGATGTGTACAGCTAGAAGAGAACGTAAAGATAATTTCCTCCAACCTCCTCGTTTTAGAGATGAGAAACCTGGAGCTTGCAGAGGTTGCTTTCCCTTCTCAGACATAATCCAAGCATTCCATTTCCAAGTAGACATGGTTTGTGGTTACTGGTTCCTTTGGATGGCCCGTATTGCTGTTGCCCTGTATCAGCCTGAAGATGAGTTACTACACGAGGTTGTTCTCTATTTCCTTCAACCTAGGGAATTTGGCTGACTCTTGATACCCCACGTAGGGTGTTTGAATTCTTTGCTCTTTATTTTAAAAAATCACTCATCTCCATTCTCCACGTTCCTAAGTCTGAACAGATGAGTAGGAGTAAGGAGCTGGAGTGTAAGGATCTCAAAGAATAAAACCTTGAAACATACATGAAACAACGCCTGTCCTAATATCCCTGGCCTGTTTGGGAGTTAGTTCTACCAGATGGTGGGTCTTAGTTTGCCCAGATGCTCTCAGATTGGCTGGCTATTCCTCCTTCCTCCAGAAGGCATAGCAAATGTCTTGTTTTTCCCACCACACAGCCTTTTTACTGGCTTGTCCTTGCTTTGCAGCTGAGTAACCCAGAAATCACACTATAATGCCCTTTGATTGACACATGAAAGATATGGGATCCAGGACTATGCCCCAGACATGGACCAGTTTGTTAATGGACAAGCATCCTAGTGTGTTTTAGCTCTCAGCACCCCAGACCCAGAGATTCAGTTACATAGGTACCTTGTCAATGAAGGAGGCAAACTTATTGTTGAGGCTCTTGATCTGTTCCTTCTCATCCTTCTTCACCCTCTGGGCATTGGGATCAATCTCCAGGTTGAGGGGGGTCAGCAGGCTTTGGTTAACAGTCACAGCTGTGATAGATGGAGCTGCTGGGACTCCAACTCCTCCGGCTCTATATCCAAATCCAGGGCTGCCGAAGCCATAGCCAAAGCGACTGCCAGCTCCATACCCAAGACCGACACCACTGCTGGCTCCAAATCCCAGACCAACACCACTGCTGGCCCCGAACCCCAGACCAACACCACTCCCATCACCAAAGCCAAAGGCTCTCCCACTGCCAGCACCAAAGCCAGCTCCACAGCTGACGGGACGAGGGCCTACAGTTGCTATCCGTGGCGAGTGTGATCCAAAGGTGATAACGCTCCGACTACCAAAGCCACCAAGTCCTCGAAAGCCAGGCCCACTTCTGCAGGAGACAGAGTTGCCCCGGAAGTGGTTCAGTTTCTGGGGGGTCACTGCTGAGCAAGAGCTGAAGTTGCCCACCCGGCAACCAGAGCTGACGCGGTAGGAACGGCAAGACATGATGGCTTCCTGGGTAAGAGTAAAGGAACGATTGCAGAGTGGGGCAAGCTGGAGCTAGGAGTCCCTCTGAGGCTAGTGGATCCCTCTCACCCCTTTTATGTATGTGGTGATTTGAGGATTGGCCCCATAAAAATGAAAAAAGCCATTTGAAGGCATTTATGAGCTTGGGTAGTTAGCAGAAACTCTTCATGCCTATAACCTCCTCAACAATGAGCTAACTCAAGACACACCTATTCTCATCAGGATGAGGACTGTAAAATCAAACCTATAAATATTAAAAACACATCAACACATCAACATTATAGTCCTATTTTTCCTCCATAAGTCCACCACAATTGCCATTATGGGGACATTAATTTACTTTGGCCATAAATCCAGTAGGCTTTTTCACTGCAAGTGTGGCTAACCACCAGAAAGTTAGGATGGTAACAGATCTAGCAAGAAACTCACAAGGGACACATCTATGGAGATACAACTCCCTAAAGAGATCAGAGGGGGGAATATAGGAGAGAGACAGAACCTGCACAGCTTCAAGTAAGAAATTATATGGAGAGAATACAACTTATTGCATCTCTGTAGATAAAATAAGTACTCAAAAAACTTACATGGTGTTTTATCTATTCTCCATGATCTGACTTGGCTGTTTACACAAGAGTTGAATCTACAGTAAAGCTCATTTGGGCTAGTGTAAACACATTCCAGCTTAAGACACTCAGGAGATTCATTCGTTCATTTATTCACTCATTCAATGATTATTGAATGTCTTTTTGCACTAGGCAATATGCTTGGTGCTGAGAGTAAGGGATAAAAAGGTTTGGTGGTAGAATAAGATTCATCTTGAAGGGGGGTCAGCAGAGGGCATAGCAGTTATGTCACTGGACTCTGGGTTCAAGTCCTGGACCCGGTGACTTGAAAATCATGCTGGGTGCTTGTGTGTGTGCATACTCAAGATCCTGGGAGGAGATGGAGAAAAAGGGGTTGTGGTGTGCTATTCCCCTTGGGGGGGGGATTTCCCACTTTTCTTCTCATTATATCTGTCTCTTTATCTCTTGTGAGTGCATGTGCCCTAAGGCAAAAACCTCTTACAAAAAATTAAAAAAAAAAATTTACCTTGAGGACCTTTACCAACCAACAATTTTCACCCATGTGTCTGGGTGAAAATTTGAGGCCCCTAAATACACCATATGGCTAATTCATAGTCCTGTTCATGCAGACTCCTTGAATTATTGATGAATGTTTCGTTAGAATAGGGAGATATAAAGCAGTAAGCATCTAGATAGACAATTAGAAGTTCTAAGCAACTGGATAGTGTTATTAATATTGCAGCTATTTCAGGACCCAAAGACAGCTGGGATTCCCTTTTTCTTTCTAGCAGCTGATATGGTTTTACCTGCTTCTTCTGTACCTGGGGGAGCTGATGTTTGGATGTGTAGGATTCTACTTGGAAGGTGATGTGTGCTTTTGGCTATAGGTTTCCAGCTTAGTTGGGCTCTATTTTCCATAGGCCTAGCTATTAGCTCTACGTCTAAGAGGGAGAAGCAGCAGAAAAATAATAATGAGAGACTGCATCTGGGCCAGTGGCCTCCCCTGTGGCTAAATTAGGCAACATCTGTGCTCCCTCGTTTCACTTGACTTTGCCGTCTTTGATACAGTGGACTACAGCCTTTTCCTTGAATCACTTTCTTCTTGAGATTTCCAGATCCCACAGCAATTCTTGGCCACATTTTTTTTGTATTCTTAGCCAGTTTTTTTCCCCCCATTCCCAGCCTCTGGACACTGAAGTGTCCATGGGCTCGACTCCTGTGTTTTTCTTATCTTTATTGACACCCATTCTCTTGGTGCTATATGGATTCATGACTTTAAATACTGTCCATCCATGAACGACTGCAGGGCACATCTCTATCCCATAGTGGCCTCTGCACTCCACGTGCATCATTTAGTCAATGTCTCGGTTTGGATGTAAAGTAGGTATCTATAACTTAATAGATCCAAAACTGTTCTCCTCAGTGTTCCTGCTAAATACTTTCCACTTGCCAACCTCACTGTTCCTGCAGCAGTTCAGGCCCCAAATCTTGGAGTCATCTTCTTTTTCTCTGTTATTTATTTATTTCCCTATATCCCACATTTGATCCATTGACAAATTCCACTATCAAACTTTATCTAGACTCTCACTGCTTCCGGCTACCTCCTCTGCTGCATGTTGAAGTGATACTGCACGACTCCAAGTAAGAAATAATGTCATGACCCACATCCATCATTCCTCATAGGATCTAGTGAGCTACCCTCTCAGCTGGCCTCCCAGCTTCTTCCTTTGCCCCTTGATTTGTCTTAACACCACAGTTAGGGTGGTGTTAAGGCTTAAAAAAGTGTCAGGCCATGTCATTTTTGTGCCTAAAACCCTGCAATAGAGGACTGGACAGTGGTGCAATAGTAAACACCGGTGCCCTGTGAGGCAGACCCACGTCGGGAGGTTTGCCAGTGTCAGTCTGAAGAACTCCCTGAACTTGCCAGGCACATCTGTGCGCATGGCCTGGGATGGCTGAAGCTGGGGGTGGATCGTGGTGTTGAGACCAGCTATCTACCTGTCTCTCTCACTCACAATAAATACATTTAAAAAGCTCCCTCCGACAGCTCCCCCATACCCTGAGTCAATGCCACCCAAGGCTGTACACAGTATGCCTCCCGCTCCGTGAGGAGAGGGGCCTCGTGGCCCTCTGCCACAGAACCTGCACAGCTTCAAGTAAGAAATTATATGGAGAGAATACAACTTATTGCATCTCTGTAGATAAAATAAGTACTCAAAAAACTTACATGGTGTTTTATCTATTCTCCATGATCTGACTTGGCTGTTTACACAAGAGTTGAATCTACAGTAAAGCTCATTTGGGCTAGTGTAAACACATTCCAGCTTAAGACACTCAGGAGATTCATTCGTTCATTTATTCACTCATTCAATGATTATTGAATGTCTTTTTGCACTAGGCAATATGCTTGGTGCTGAGAGTAAGGGATAAAAAGGTTTGGTGGTAGAATAAGATTCATCTTGAAGGGGGGTCAGCAGAGGGCATAGCAGTTATGTCACTGGACTCTGGGTTCAAGTCCTGGACCCGGTGACTTGAAAATCATGCTGGGTGCTTGTGTGTGTGCATACTCAAGATCCTGGGAGGAGATGGAGAAAAAGGGGTTGTGGTGTGCTATTCCCCTTGGGGGGGGGGATTTCCCACTTTTCTTCTCATTATATCTGTCTCTTTATCTCTTGTTGGAGAAAAAGGGGTTGTGGTGTGCTATTCCCCTTGGGGGGGGGATTTCCCACTTTTCTTCTCATTATATCTGTCTCTTTATCTCTTGTGAGTGCATGTGCCCTAAGGCAAAAACCTCTTACAAAAAATTAAAAAAAAAAATTTACCTTGAGGACCTTTACCAACCAACAATTTTCACCCATGTGTCTGGGTGAAAATTTGAGGCCCCTAAATACACCATATGGCTAATTCATAGTCCTGTTCATGCAGACTCCTTGAATTATTGATGAATGTTTCGTTAGAATAGGGAGATATAAAGCAGTAAGCATCTAGATAGACAATTAGAAGTTCTAAGCAACTGGATAGTGTTATTAATATTGCAGCTATTTCAGGACCCAAAGACAGCTGGGATTCCCTTTTTCTTTCTAGCAGCTGATATGGTTTTACCTGCTTCTTCTGTACCTGGGGGAGCTGATGTTTGGATGTGTAGGATTCTACTTGGAAGGTGATGTGTGCTTTTGGCTATAGGTTTCCAGCTTAGTTGGGCTCTATTTTCCATAGGCCTAGCTATTAGCTCTACGTCTAAGAGGGAGAAGCAGCAGAAAAATAATAATGAGAGACTGCATCTGGGCCAGTGGCCTCCCCTGTGGCTAAATTAGGCAACATCTGTGCTCCCTCGTTTCACTTGACTTTGCCGTCTTTGATACAGTGGACTACAGCCTTTTCCTTGAATCACTTTCTTCTTGAGATTTCCAGATCCCACAGCAATTCTTGGCCACATTTTTTTTGTATTCTTAGCCAGTTTTTTTCCCCCCATTCCCAGCCTCTGGACACTGAAGTGTCCATGGGCTCGACTCCTGTGTTTTTCTTATCTTTATTGACACCCATTCTCTTGGTGCTATATGGATTCATGACTTTAAATACTGTCCATCCATGAACGACTGCAGGGCACATCTCTATCCCATAGTGGCCTCTGCACTCCACGTGCATCATTTAGTCAATGTCTCGGTTTGGATGTAAAGTAGGTATCTATAACTTAATAGATCCAAAACTGTTCTCCTCAGTGTTCCTGCTAAATACTTTCCACTTGCCAACCTCACTGTTCCTGCAGCAGTTCAGGCCCCAAATCTTGGAGTCATCTTCTTTTTCTCTGTTATTTATTTATTTCCCTATATCCCACATTTGATCCATTGACAAATTCCACTATCAAACTTTATCTAGACTCTCACTGCTTCCGGCTACCTCCTCTGCTGCATGTTGAAGTGATACTGCACGACTCCAAGTAAGAAATAATGTCATGACCCACATCCATCATTCCTCATAGGATCTAGTGAGCTACCCTCTCAGCTGGCCTCCCAGCTTCTTCCTTTGCCCCTTGATTTGTCTTAACACCACAGTTAGGGTGGTGTTAAGGCTTAAAAAAGTGTCAGGCCATGTCATTTTTGTGCCTAAAACCCTGCAATAGAGGACTGGACAGTGGTGCAATAGTAAACACCGGTGCCCTGTGAGGCAGACCCACGTCGGGAGGTTTGCCAGTGTCAGTCTGAAGAACTCCCTGAACTTGCCAGGCACATCTGTGCGCATGGCCTGGGATGGCTGAAGCTGGGGGTGGATCGTGGTGTTGAGACCAGCTATCTACCTGTCTCTCTCACTCACAATAAATACATTTAAAAAGCTCCCTCCGACAGCTCCCCCATACCCTGAGTCAATGCCACCCAAGGCTGTACACAGTATGCCTCCCGCTCCGTGAGGAGAGGGGCC